TTTTAAAATCATGGTGTGACATGTCAAGACTTCTGTGTCTTAGTGAGATTATGGTGCTATCTGTGTGGAGGATATATTTGAAAGGGAAAAAAACTAGAGGCAGGAAGACCCGTCAGGAGACTATTACTTAAAATTGCTATAGAATGTATAAAATATTTGGGAAATTACCTTCTAAAATATACAAAATAACCACATAAATACAACTACAAACAAGTATTTACAGAAGTAAAGACAGACCTAAATAATTGAAAAAATATTAATTACTTATAGGAAGGATGAGCCAATATAATAAGGAGACGTATGGTAACAGGAGGCAGCTGGTGGCACAGAGGATAGAGAGCAGGGAGTCAGGAAGACCTGAGTTCAAATTTGGCTTCAGGCATTTACTAGCTGTGTGAACCTGAGCAAGTCACTTAACCTCTATTTGACTCAGTTTCTTCAACTATAAAATGGTGATAATAGCGCCTACCTCACAGGGTTGTTATGAAGATCAAATTTGATCATATTTGTAAAAGTGCTTAGCACAGTACCTGGCACCTAGGAGGTGCCATATAAATGCTCATTCCCTTCCCTCATAGCAAAAATGACAATATTATATAAATCTAAATACAACTAAATATTATTTAAATGCTTATTGATTTAATGTCATACCAATCAAACTACTAAAAGATTACTTTACAGAACAAGAAGAAATTAAGACAAGAAACTCAAGAAAAAATAAGGGGAAAATGGGATTGAAGGTGGCCTAGCAGTGCCAAATATCAAACTATACTTTTGTTGTTATTGTTGAGTTGTATCCAACTCTTCATGACCCCATTTGGGCTTCTCTTGGCAAAGACAGTAGAATAGTTTTTCATTTCCTTTTCCAGATCATTTTACAGAGGAGGAAACTGAGGCAAACAGGGCTAAGCAACTTGCCCAGGATCACACAGCTACTAAGTATCTGAGGACAGATTTGAACTCTGGAAGGTGAGTCTTTCTGATTCCAGGCCAGGCACTCTATTCACTGTGTCACCTAGCTGTAGTAGTAATATTAAAGTTGACGAGGATGGGACTGATATTTTTATACAGAAAAAGATTGTAGGAAGATCTGCAGGTCCCATCCCCATCAAAAACAATTTGATACTTGAAAAAAAAATAGATCAATCAGTGGACTAGATTAGGTACAGAACTTACAGAGAAGTAATTTTATCTCATGGTCTAGTATTCAATAAATATAAAAATGCCTGCTACTGGAATAAGGGGTGGGATGGAGGGAAAACAGATTTCTGTTGATTAAAAAAGAGAGAGAGAGGGAGAGAGAGGGAGAGGGGGAGAGAGAGAGAGAGAGAGAGAGAGAGAGAGAGAGAGAGAGAGAGAGAGGCAAAGGTATTACAGATGTGAAATGTTACACACACTTTTAGTTAAGGTCACTGTATTATTAGTTTTATTTAACTGGTTTACTTCATTATAAAGACCATTCAAGAAGTGGGAATGATATGTAAATGCTTGTAATGTAAAAACAAAACATATCAATAAAGCTTTTTTTTCTAAAGTAATAGTCCAGATGAGCTGTGAAAGGGATTTGAACAAAAGGTGGTAGCAAGATAAGCAGAAAGAAGGGGGCAAATGCATGAAATGTTATAGAGTGGAATGGACAGGACTTAGCAATGTAATTGGATGTGATGAAGGATATGGAACAGCCAAAGACGTTCCCAAGGTTTTGAAGCTAGGTATCAAAGAGGAACAAGAGTAGGGCAGTTAGGAATTGGGACAGGTTTGGGGGAAATCAGTGATTTAACAAGCATTTATCAAATATCTGTTACGCATCAGAAACTCTTCCTGGCACCTAAGATACAAAGGAGAAAAAAGAAACAGTTTTAGCCTGCTATTCTATCTGGGGAGACAAGATATACATTCATATGTATATTAAAAATAAATCCAGTGCAGTTTTGGGAGGTACTGTGGCTGGGATGGGGGGAAAATCGGAAAAGGATACTAAGAATTAATTCTAAGAGGTATGGCTAAGAAAGGAATATATTCCAGGCAAGGAAGAAAGGCAGTGAAAGTTTCTATTGGGTATGAAGCATTTGAGATTCTAGAAGGGCAGCTATGTAGAAATGTCCAGCAGGAAGCTGGAGATAAGGAAGTAAACTTCATGGAAAAGATTTGAGCTGGAAATGAAAATTTGGTAGTCATAAATGAATATATGGAAATGGATAAGCTTACCTAGGAACGAGTGTAGAAAGAAGAAAATCTAGAGCAGGTAGGAGGCAAACAATTGAAGAAACAGTGATCATATGATTTCAAAGGGCATCAAAAAGGCCCCAGTGCCCACTTAGTGGCTATTGCCTGAAATCTTGCCACTAGCACTTCATCACTTTGGTGTATGGTTCTCTGGAGGTACAAACACACTGTGCTATCAAAAAAAAGGAAAAAATGAGCCTGTGAGATAGTGACTTTGTCTACTTCATAATTTTGACTGAAGCTGGCTCTACTCAGAAGTCTCACTACTGTGGGAAAAGCTACAGAAAACTCTAAGGAGTTAGCTACATAAAAACTCTCTGACTATCGAGTCGAAGGTCAAATCCCTGAATAGCTTGGGCATGTCCTGAATAGGAGCAAGCTTCAGAAATGCTGAGAATAGCAGCAAGTCACAACAAAGTCGGGTCATTGTATTGCAAGGGAAAGGAATGGAGAAGACACCCAATATTTAGTTTCGACCAGATTAAACCATTAACAGAAAGAAAAATGAGACATTTTAGTGGCTCTGCTGGTGCCTAACAGCCAAAAAGTTAATTCAGTAGCCTTAAAAAAAAGGCAAGTCAAAATGATCACAAAACTAGCGGGCATTCAAAGAGGTGGAATTGTACTTTATTTCACTTGTTATTTCAGAAAAGAGGTTTTAAATCCCATGTCTCTCAAACAATAAGTAAAAGAGAAAATAAGGTACTCAGGCCAGAGAAACTCCCTTAGAGACCAGAGAGGTAAATGCCATCGAAAATGGGAAAGCATCTGCTTTAGGACCCATTACTGCTATTACTGCTAAAGGCACAATGCAATTCTTTATACCTGTTCCTCTTTGCTCTGGAAAGTTTTTTTTGGTATTGCTTTGTTTTGTTTTTACTTTTCTCTATTAACTGTCATTTGTAAGTCACCAACAGGGTACTGCTCTCTTTCCATTACTCTGAAGTATCTCATAACATATTAACTTACAGCTGAGAGACTAAGAAAAACTGATCTATCTCATTCTAAGTACTAGTATGGTATTTTAGAATATTGTGAGGTAATTTTACCCAATAACAGTAGGGAAACTTTTTCATCTTCCAAATAATTCTATTTGAATTGACTTACCTATACCTTGCTCTAAAGGGCACTCCTGTTAATTAAAGTGTTTCACATTATAGATATGTCTCACTTCATGCAGTAAGATCTTTCTTGAAAAACTGTATATTCAGGTTTAAGCCTGAAAATCAAGCCATAGGTTCAAGCCAAGAATCATAGGTTTAGAGTTGGAAGGAACTTTAAAGTTCATCTATGCTATCCTTGTCAACTGAAAAGACATACTTCAACACTTCAAACAGCCGTGGTTTTATCAATGTGGGTCGTTCTTCCCCCATATAGACTGTTAGCACTCCAAGCCTCAACAGATCATTTAAATGAATTATTCCAGAAGGAAAAAAAAACATGACTTGGTGGTCAACATTCTGGTGATGAGCTCCTTTGACCAAGGCTATTCCTTGGACCAGAATTGTACTCTGACAAGGGGCCTGTAAGAACTTTCACAGTTTGGCAGCCTTTAAGCACTCAGGGTCATCTCCATGCTATGATGGGATATTGGAGTAGGACTTTAGTGGAAACAACGAAAATATTTATCAGTTTTGCAATATGAAATGTCTGTGTCTCTTATGAAAGGAGACAAATACCTATATTGCCTACTTTGCAAAGCAACATTACTGGTTTCTTAGGCTTAATTGGTAGTTTCAGAACAGTTCTAAATTCTATCAGCTGAATAAATACCATTAAAACTGAGTAACTCATATGAAATCTCCTTTGATACCCAATGGAAATTGTAAGCCTATTTTGGTGTTTGACTCATTAACTTTTTAAAAAATCTAAACATTACCCCAAATAAAGGATTTCAGGAGAAAATAATATGAACTAATAGTTTAACTATCATAAGATCTTGAATGCTGTCCAGTTTCTTAGTTCAAAGTTTATGAGAAATTCCCTTAAGAGAGCTGGAGACATAAAAAGGTATAGGATGAAATGTCTGAACAATTACTCTCTCTCTCTCTCTCTCATAAATTCCATTAGACAGACATCATTGTTGAAAAAGGCTGTATACAGTTCTCTGTAGCATGTTCTAGATCTCCAAATAAGATTTTCTTCCCCATACTGGCAACAGATGACTATCAAGATGGCACTGAAGGCCTACCAATGCTATCTCTGTTTTAAAAATGGGGGAAGCAGAAAGCAAAAATAAAAGCTAACTTAAAAAACTTCCCAAATAGACTTTTGAACTACCTGACCTCATTGTGTGACTTGAGAAAGCATGTAGACAGCAGTATCTCAGAAGATTTTTGATATGTATTTGGTAGGGGAAATGACAACACACACAATTCTTTCCTCAGTCAAATAAATATGTGCTTATAAATTCAATCTCTAGTTCCTAAAGAGGCATATTTATTTACTCTTAGAGTTTCTGCTCTGAGTTCTGTTCTCTCTGCAAGTTTCACATTTCATGGTTTATTAAATCAAATCTTAATAGGAAAAGATATGGAGGGCTGCCTTGTTTTCCCCTGGAGATTTAATCTACAATCCAATAAACAGCAAAAATCGATGGTTTTGAGTTTATAGTCTTGTACTCTCATCTTAGAGCTTTTAGATGTGAAAATGTAAGTAAATATGAGAATAGGACATATCACATTAATAATAAATACAACCAAATTGTGCCATCTTACAGCATTACACCCTTCTTCCATTACTGCTTTTTTTTAAAAGAAGAAACAAATTCCTACCTTGTAAAATGGTCTTCTGGTGTAAGATGTTTTTTTTTTCTTTTACTCTTTTATGCCATAGGTCTCTTCAGCAGAGCCCTGTGAGTTGAGAAGCAGAAGATATAAATGTAAGCCAGACATTTACCAGTCAATCATATCTGTCAAGATGTTAACTTTGACTTGACTCCCTGATGGGAAACAGCAATTAGGGTTGTAGCCCTGGAAGCAAAGACAAACTGTGAATTAAATTTGCCAAAGCATATTTCTTTGAGTTAAATTAAATAAGACAGCTGAAAGGATATAAGAGCTGATTAGAACTGTGTTGCCATTATCCTCTCAAGAGTCACTACCCAAAGAAGTCACTGCTAAAATTATCCTTTCAAGTTTGAAGTAGGGAACTTTTGGAGGTTTGGCAATATTATCTCTAAAGTCAAGGGAAAAATATGTTTTCCTGTGTGCTTTAGAATACATCAAAATGTTTCTGTATTGAATTTGATAAAATTATCTAAGGTTTTAAAGACATGGGGAAACACTTTCGCAAGTTCACATTATACAATGCAAATGGTAGTGTCATGGAGATTAATGGATATCTATTATGAAATTTAAACTAAATTTATAACAATGAAGATATTCTTCCTTTGGTATTAAATTCCTGCTGATAAACTAGAACCTCTCTCTAAAGGAATATTGGTGAAATTCTGTAGGAAATAAAGGATTTATTTTCATCAGCATAGTATCCCACAGAAGGCAAAGAAAATACTTTTCAGTGATCCCCACAGTATCATCTCTTTTCTACTCCTTCTCTTTTTTCAAACACTGCCAAGTATGCATTATGTTAATAGTATTTCACCAAAAGGGAAACTGTGAATGTACCACTGGGTAGAGCTTGGAAGGACATGTATCTGAGTACAGATTTCAAATGGAGGCAATGGGAGTTTCTTTTTTTTATGTTTCAATAAATGCATTTTTACAACTCATTTCAGGGCAAAAATCTCATAGGGAGCATATGGTCTAATAAAGGAATGACTCCATAGCATCATTTGGGAAAATTGTTTAGCCATGCCTGCTTGTGTTAATGACAAGGATATTAATTCACTTTTGACTCTTACTAGGTAGGATTAAATCTCCAAGCCTTTGTTTGAAACCTTGAATGGTCCCAAAAACTTCTCAGTGATGGTTAATCCATAGTACCTGCTCATATACAGTCCATTACAAAATTACCTATTCATATGATTAGTAATTAGTAATTAATCAGACACTTCTTAAAGGTGAATTTTCTAAAAATTTTTGGCTATTATTCTTCCTTCAAATAAACATGTTAATTTGTTTCCCATTCCTCTGACATATATTTCTTTCTTCTCAGCACAATGGGAAAATCACACCCCCACACCCCCCCCACACACACACTTTAAAGCAAGAAATACTGGGCATCTGGGGCAAACTGAGTTGGACAAGGTGGACTGGTATGGTTGAGCTAGACTAGTAACAAATGTCATATAAGTTGAAGAGGCTGAAGAATAAAGTCATAGTGTTTAAAAGGGGTTAGGTGGAGAAAAAGGTTATGAGCTAGGAAGTGATGAAGTGAACTTTACAGGAAGATGGGTATTATTGAATATTGGTGACAGAGGAAGTATCTGAAAATGGTAATGAGGAGCAAGGAATATGCTATCTCCGGCTCCTGATCCTGTGCCTTAGGGGGTGTGAAAGGAAAAGTCACCCTTGGAGAAGTTGTCAAGAAACATAGTGTCTTCAGGAGTAAGCTAGATTTTAGTGGGCATCATAAGATGAAAGGAATGTGAGAGAAGAGAGATATAGAATGAGGTTTTCAGATGGTATAATGAAAAAGAAGGATAGAAGAAAGTAAGACCAGGAAAGGCTAGGAATGAGCTTACAAAGACAGGGAAGGAAGAGCAGATGTCATGTTCTGTCTTGCCACTGATTTCCCTCCTGAAAACTCCCAGTGATCTTGAGTAGCTTGTATGGCATGAGGTCCCCCCACCCCAGGTCAAGCAGAGGATTAGGGTTTATCTGCCCCAATAAAGAAGGGAGTTCAGGGGTGGGGCATGATAGACACAGATATAGTGTGGTTGGGTAGCTGGTGCCTTGCCAATGGGGAAAAAAACATGACCACTGGGCAGACGAAGCATAAACTCTTCTTCCCATGTGTCAGTGCTTACACCAAAGTCCCAGCTACTGGCTCAGAGGTAGGATGGGGTAGGGGGAGAATATTTCATTATTTTATGTCAACTTCCCACCTCCAACATCAAAATATGAATTTTGTTGTCTGTATCAGAATAGTGTTAGCTTTTCTATATAACAAACCAAAGCTAAAAATCAAAAGGTCAACATGAGATCAAATTTGCTTTATATGTTCTTGTCACAAAAGAGAAACAACACCTAGGTTTAAATATCCAACAAACCCTGAGTCATTTGGACTTTCAACATGTAGTCAACCACAGTATGAAGGAAATCAACTGTCTTTAGTTATAATTTAATGCAAACACTTGTCTCCTCTGATTAAAGAAAGAGAAAAGACTCCTTTAATAGGGAATTACCCACTGCCCACAATGTAATTTCAGGTGGAGAACTCTGCCTATAATTGCATGGCTTGATCTTAAGTACTGCTAGGTAACTCATTTCTCCTCTTTGAATGAGAATTCATAATAAACAACACAATCAAAAGTTTTATACTACATAGCAGTTTATACTAGAGAGATCAGCAATCAACCAGACATCCTTAAGATCCCAGCTATTCTGTTCTTTGTGGTATAACTCAGAAGATATTCCACATATGTCTTCCTCCCGTTTAGCTGAGGGTGATTTCTGAAAAGTGTCCTTGTTAAAAGACCCAGCAAGGGCTAGTTTATATAAAAATGCCAACATTTTACTCAAGTTTGACCTCTAGAGCCAATTCCATTTTCAATTTATTTGAGTTCAGAACTGTCCTACTTTCAAGGTCAAGAAAAGAAAAGTAGCTTGAAAATAATTTTCAAAATAACAAGTAAATTTGATGAATGAGAACAATTTTGTGATTTTATATTTACTATCATATAAGTCTGTAAAATTTCACATTTGCAAAGTTGTTTTGTTTTGGATGCTACTGTCACCTTTCGTCACTTACAAACTTATTTTCAAACTCTGTTCTTCAATCTTGCCAAATCCTTAACCAACATCAATGCTGCATTAGCCCACAAAACTTTTCATTTTTCTCTGCATTTCCTGCTTGTGACACATTCTTTGAATTGAATTTGGGGTCCATTCATAATCATGGCCTGGAGAAAAAGGGATGAATAAACAATTCTGTGGAAGTTGGCATTTATTTTTGGTTTCTCTGGTGCACGCAAATCACCCAACTGACTTCTGGTTTAGCTGAGCACCACTGAAAGCCAATTGCATCTTGAAACCCAGTTATATCATTACCTGTGACATATGTAACAAAATGAACTCCCAGAAAAATTAAGTATGAACGAGAATCAAACAAAAGTTTCCATGAGTCATTTTGCTTATTGCCTAGAGCACTAAGAAAGGACATGGAAAAGGGGGAATGCTAACCAGTCACTGCCCATACTCTGACCGGATGAGATTCAGTGGAGGTAGTGACTCAGACTTCTGGCATTAAACTTGACCTGTAAGAAGCCAGAGCTATTCATATGGCTCCTGACCAGATTGGGCACAATCAGGGCACTTGGGAAGAGCTTCACTCCCTCAGGGCACTTCTTAAAAGCAGGGACAAAAGCTTAACTGTGATGTATTCAGAAAGCCAACTACTGAAGCTGCAAGCTCCATGAAGTCACACATCATGTCTTATCTAAACTTATTATCCTCCAATTGCCTAGCACAGTGCTAGGCACATAAGAGCTTCATAATTGATTACTGCACTGAGTTGATTATATTGACCTGTGCACTTATCTTCTCTCTCCCCTTTCAAATCAGATATTCTGTGTTTCTGTGATTCTATGGTTTCTACCAATGTAAGAGGATTATAGAAAAATCTAAGTCCTGAAAGAGCTTAGTTGAAAGATTCAAATTTCTGTTGGAAAATGGAATAGACTTGTTTTGCTTGGTCCTAGAGATCTCACAATTCCACCTATCACCCCAGTGCCACAGGCAAAGGCAGGTCCCCAAATCTGGAATGTATGATCCCATTACCTCCAATTCTTGTGACACATTATTTTCTTTAAGGCTCAGCTCATGTGCCATATCCTATGTCTTTCCTGATCTCCCTATTCTCCTCCTCAAATGATCATGTTGATACTTAAATGCTCACATGTAGTATACCCATCTCACAGTAGAATGTGAGCTCCTTCTATTTATGTACCGCTTTACGGTTTGCAAAGCACTTTACATACATGATCTCAGTGAGTCCTTAGAATAATTCCTGGGAGGTAGGTGCTATTATTATCACCCCCATTTTACATATGAGAAAACTGAGGCTAGGAGAGATTGAGTGATGTGCCCCACGTGTCTGAGGGGGGCCTTTCTGACTCTGGGTCCAGCAGTCTAATCTACTGCACTAACTAGCTATCTAGTCCTTGAGCAATTTGTCTACTACACTAGAATCCCTCACTCTCTTAGGACTTAGTAAACTTCAAAGCACTACATATGTATGGACTATCCCTGGGTAATTAAAACCATTTTATTCTCTCTTATAACGCCCTGAGAATTGCAGTAGAAAATCAGGAAATCAAGCATTTACTCATACACATTTTTACTGTGTAACTTTTACTGGGCCTTTGCTGCTGCATAATCATATCTTCACTCAACCCATTCTGACTCTTTCCCCAACAGACTATTTCAAATCTTTTCCTCTTTCCTCGAGTCCTTAACCATACCTCTATAACCCATACTCAGAGAAGTTTTAACCTCTTACTTCACTGATAAGACTGAAGCTATTTTATGCTGAGATCTTTCAACTCCCCTGTTCCATTTTCCAATCAATCCATCAACCAGCACTATGAAATACTTACTATTAAAAACTTAAATATTTTGGTACATTTACTGTGTACCAAACACAGTGCTAGGCACTGGGCAGAAGTGAAATAATCCCTGTCCTCAAGG